GTAATCATTTTTTTTTAACAAAGAGTAGCAGAAAGGATATTAACTGATTAGAATATATTAAGAATTAGTTACATTGTTAATCATCATTAGTTAGTCCATTGGGACGCGTGTCTCATTCTACTACTTAGTTGATTGCCTTTATATTGTACTCAGCTCAGAATAAATGAATGAGAAGTTTTGGATCCATATCATATTCTTTCATCTGTGTGGTTTTGCTTTGCTACCTTTTTTTTTACTAATGAAGATCATGATCGAGATGCGATATTTTTTTTAAAAAAAAATAGCTGAAGTAGTGGGATGGAACTTACTGCAAGACAAAACCACTAAAATTAAAATTTGATGAAAAAATAAATGATAAAACTTGGAAGTTATAGTTAATATTATTATCTATTAACAAGGCGAGGTAGTTTTATTTTAAGCCTTCAATGGGAACGTGGGGAGGGTCAAATCAGAACAAGTTTCCAATATATTCTATGCCACCCAGCTCTCCATCCATCTTTCCAATCTATCCCTAATAGATTATTTAGTTAAACTTCAAGCAAAGTAGATGTTGATATGGTATTAGATTCTATTCTGGTTGGCTCCATCCTATAATTAATTTGATGATGATGTAACCACATTTGTGCGCAGGGGCATTTGTGTGTTTGATCCTAAAAGTTGAATCTCACCGATAGAGACTTGGTAGTTTGGGATACTAAGTCTCTCATTGAATAATATGGGATGCTCAATAGGGTATATAAGTGGGTTAGTTCTCCTACTTCAACAGCTAGCTTTTGAGATAGGGTTTTCCATCCTATTTAGGTACCAATCAATTGGTATCAGAGCCTTATTGTCAACGATTCCGAAAAGGGCTACCCACAGAGGGTTCTGACAGAAAGAAGACCGAGTAAAGTGTTATAGAGTGTAACCGTCAAGACATCGGCTTTCCATGAGGGGCCAATTGATAGAGACTTGGTAGTATGAGATACCAAGTCCCATATTGAGTAGTATGGAATGCTCAATGGGGTATATAAGTGAGTTGATTCTCCCACTTTAATAGCTAGCTTTTGAGGTAGGGTTCCCCATCCTACTTAGGTACCCATCACTCACATTCTCCACTCAAAGTTTCTTAACATTCACAATCAGTGTCATTTTCATCTGTTGGCTCAGTTTCCTACTTTTTCATGTTCGAGATTGATGTTTACAATGTCTGTTTTGGAATAGTTTTTCCATCATGCATAAACATTGAACTTCTTGTCAGTTACGTTATCCTAAAGTTTTGTCAAAGATATCATCTGAATCTTCATCCTTTTGCCTAACCTCTCACATTTTCAACTTTCAAGATTCAACCTTGATGTCAAATGGCGTGTTTTGGAACGTTTTTACATTCTGCTGATGATTAAAGGGCTGTATGAATGAACTTTATCCATTTGTGGTTATTGTTATCTTTATGTTGAGTAAGAGCATTTGAATGTCATGAAGGAGTATTTTGAGATGCCATGAGAAAGCTTGAGCGCTAAGGTTGAGGCATCATATACAGAGAGGACGGCAATCAACCATAAAGATTACCTCCCTAGTGGGCAGATTATTGCATCGAGTGCCATCGATGTAGCTAAAACTGAAGTCTTGATTGCGGATGGCCAACATATTGATCATTACCACTTGGCCATTGTAGAGCCCTTTCCCAGTAGTAGGATCGAGAGGCTTCATCAATACAAACGTAAATGTTTAGCTGGAATGGGAAAAAAGAAACCAAAAAAGGGAAAAAAATAGAAATTCAAACTGTTGTGAAATGATGACTCTATTTAATAATTTTTGGTGCTTAGTTACTATGAGGAACATAGGATTTTGCCATGTGATTTAACTACCTCATGGCAATATAGCTTCTTTAGTTTTTAGCATGCCCAAGAATTGGATCATGAAGCTCTCATTCAGTCATTAAAAATATATTAGAACTCATGAAGTGATCGATTAAATCCGAATACTTCGTTAACTATTTTGTCTGGCTTGCTTAAATCTATCTGGTATTATTTTACAATATAATGCAGTAATATTGTCTATGTTATGTGGTGGGAATGCTTTTATAGAATGGGTTCAACCAAGAAAATGTTAACATAGCCTGCACTTGAGTTATGAAGTTTCTTTACATTGGCAGAAAGTGAGAAGATAAAATCAGCTCAATCCATTCTGATTATTGGTGGAGGTCTCACTGGTGTTGACCTTGCTGGAGAAATTGCTGTTGATTTTCCTGATAAAAAGGTTATGCTAGTGCACAGAGGATTAAGGCTTCTGGACTTCATCGGGCCAAAAGTTGCTGATAAGACAATATTGAATTCCAAGAAAAATGAGGTGAAATTAGAGCAAATAGTAAATGCAGAAAAAGTAGCAGATGGAAACAAGATATACCGAACTTTACTTGGAGAAACTATTGTGGCAAATTGTCATTTTTTTGGCACTACAAAACAGACTAGTTCTGCTCTTGCTTCAGAAAACTGAGTTAAAGGGTAACTTGGATGTTATTGGAAGGCTTATGGTAGATGAATATTTGAGAGTCAAAGGCCGAAACAATATTTTTTTAAATTAGAAACATTACGGACGTTCCTGTAAGCTTTATGTGAACAAGTTTTTGAGATTTTATTGATATTATAGTTTTGTGCATAATCACACCTATTTATAAGAAAGTCAACAAGGTACTTAATCTTCTCATTGTTTCCCTCATATTCTGTGAAGTACACCTGTACAGCATCTCAGTGGGTTTAGAGCTAGTCTAATATACCATGCATTGTTGCCTGAATTCTGTGGAGGTGAAAGTCCTGGCCCTCAGTAACATGACTTTGTCATTGATGCCACAACAAAATTATGAAGCCAGAAACTCATTTCTTTTGCCTTGGCAGTTGGCTGCCTGTGCCATTTCATATCTTTTCATAGTTGTTTTCCAAGTTCTCTCCATGATTCTTATGTCGAGAGACTCAAGGATCCCATAAGATATTGGCTTTAAAAGGAGAAGATTTTGGTAGAATTCTTTAGATGTTTGCTAATAGGTTTTCCTATCAAAAGGTAACATGTGAGGAGAATCTTTAATTGCATAATCTCCATTAAGTCTGAGTGATTGTCTTACTTAGGCTGTTAATTGCATGAGCCGTTTTAGCATCTGAAATCATTTTGCAAGCAAAGAAGATAGGAGCTTTTATAATGGGAATCTATCACAACAGGAAATTAAACAAGGGTTTTGTGCACAAAAGCAGGCTGCTGTCGTGGCAAAGAACTTGAGGCTAATGATGGAAGGAGGAAAAGAGCATTGGATGGGAATGTACACTTCACAACCGGCACTCGCTATTGTTGCACTTGGCCGGAAAGAAGCTGTGGCACAACTCCCTGGCCTCACAATCATCGGCAGAGTTCCTAGCTTGATCAAGTTTGGAGATTTGTTTGTGGGCAGAACAAGAAAGCAAATGAGAGTTTAGGATTGTGAATGGGGGTGAATGGGGTTGCATGTACAACATGACTTTGCTCTTCTTATTTTTGCAGTTAACCAGCATGCCCGCGTTAATTGTTTGCAGAAAGAAATTCAAGGTGTAGTGTTTAGACGTTTGCTATCAAGAATTATAATCTCTGGTAGTAAAAATCTAAACAGCCTTCCTTAGTTCTGGTAATATATCTTTAATACTTTTAGTTTCATTAAGTTTTGTTTTAGTTCTTGTAATTTTTTTAATGTTTTTAGTCCTTATAATTTTAAAAAGATTAGGTAATATTTGTTTTTTCAAGTTTTTATAGTTTTTATTTTTTAATGGTTTTAGTTTTTATGGGGACTGAAAATATTAAAAAAATTATGAAAATTAAAAGCAAAATCTAATAAAATTACAGGGTTTAAAGATTATATTTTTTCTTTTTTTCTTTTGTATTCTCCACATTTTTTCTTGGCAAACAATAAAGCGTCCGTCCTCTATTTGAATATGTCTAATTTGTTCATAAGAAAAGCATTATCATATATACTATTGAATCATTAAAGCATTTACGTACTTCTGGACTTCATTGATAAAGTTTGTTTGATTTATATTACATGTAGCCTAATAAGAATAAATAACTAGACAATTCACCCACTGGGATGCAATTCCGTGGCATTTGATTTGTTTAATTCTAATTAACTATAAGCATTGAAGATAACGTACCAATAGGAGCAGAACATATACAGTGTAGAGCAGGTTATTTGGGAAGAGTACAGTTGCATTTATGGTCAAACTATTGACAAGTCTATTTGTTTTTTCATTTGTAATGGGAATATCTACAAATTAGAGATTCTCTTAAAAGAATAAGGCAACTCACACATGAGTTATAGGATGCAAGGCACAAGAGAAGAAACAAAATTCAAAGATTCAGCAGAAAAATGAGGGAAAGAAGGGATGAAAGGATAAGAATCCATGACTAGAGCCCGGTATGTTTTCTAGATAGTCAAAATAACAGCGATAATAAACTAATATATCTTAAATTCTAGAAAAATCAAACCAATAAAAATAAAAAAAATAAAATTAATATAAATTAATATGACTAACCAATTAGATAGCCTTGTTCCCCTCCTTCCTTTTGGTGGAGTGTCTAATGAGAATGAACTGGAATCAAAGCCGACTGCAGTTCGCGCGGGAGACACCTTCGTTGCTGCCAACTCCATTACATCACCACTTTGACACTTCTCATTTATTTCCCATTAAGAAAATAAACACAATCCTTCATAAATATGGGCCAAAAAAAAAAAAAAATAGTCTTCCTGACAACTTTTTTCAGAAGAGAGCACAGTACTATTCTTCCTGATTTTACATATTTTTATAAATTTATATGTTGGCGTACTGTTGACTAGCAAGATAGCGAGTGGTGCAAGCTGGCAGCTGGAATTGAATTAGTTGACCACAGCCACCACTCGCCTTGTCTTTCTATATTTCAAATTCTACACCTGACGCTTGCGCTTGATTATTTCGTTATACACGCAATCTGATTCAATTCAATCCCCTCCCTCCTCTCTATAAATGTGTGTTGCCATGCTTCCTTCTCCAAACATGGCCATAAAGCTATAAACGTAAATTTACCAACAATGGTGAAGAGCGTGGTGATCGTAGGAGGCGGTGTTGCTGGTGCCACCCTCGCTAAAACCCTTCAACTTCATGCCAACGTTACCCTTATTGATCCGTAAGCTCTCCATTTTTAATTCCTATACACAAATATTATGTTACATATAGTTGAGTTGAATTGATTTCGAACTTCAGAAACTATATTGTTGCTGTGCTATCAAAGTCATGATGTGAAATTTGGACGTATGTACTATATAGGAAGGAATATTTTGAGATTCCATGGGCAAGCTTGAGGGCAATGGTGGAGCCGTCTTTTGCAGAGAGGATAGTGATCAACCATAGAGATTACTTCACAAAAGGAGGCCTTGTGATATCCAGTGCTGTCAACTTCACAGAAACTCAAGTCATAACTGCAGATGGCCGTCACATTCCTTACGACTATCTTGTTCTCGCCACTGGTCACACCCAGCCAGCTGTCCCCGTAACTAGGGTTGAAAGGCTCAACCAATACAAAGCAGGTAACTTTTTTTATTGTTCTCATCACAAAATCAGTCCTTCTGTAAAAAGATTATATATATACATTATATAATGTTCTTATTAGATTCGTTGATTATGAATGCCTATCATAATTAATTGCAGTTAATTAAGTTCTCTCCTTGTCTTTTATCTACAAGTCAAGACAAGGAACCAAATACAGCAATGTCTAAATTTAAACTGCTACAGTATCGGTTATACGCTGCTTGCACATGACTAGCTACTTCATTTAACTTCGTTTGAAGGTTACGGTTTATGTTGTCATTTGTCTAAAGTTTGACTTTGACCATATATTAGTAGGCTGCTATTTAATAATTTGAAATCAATTTTTCAGAAAATCAAAAGATCAAATCTGCTCGATCCATACTGATTGTTGGAGGAGGTCCTACTGGGGTTGAGCTTGCAGGAGAGATTGCTGTTGATTTTCCGGAGAAGAAGGTGACTCTAGTGCATAAAGGTTCGAGATTGCTTGAATTTATTGGGACAAAGGCTTCGAGGAAGACGATGAAGTGGTTAAAGTCAAAGAAAGTGGAGGTGAAACTGGAGCAATCAGTGAACTTAAACTCTGTTGAAGATACCCCAAACAGAACATATCGTACTTCCCTGGGAGACACCATTGAAGCGGATTGTCATTTTCTATGCACAGGGAAACCTCTCAGTTCTGCATGGCTTAGAGAAACTCTCATCAAGAATGACTTGAATGTCGATGGAAGGATCAAGGTTGATGAATCTCTGAGAGTCAAGGGCAGGACTAACATTTTTGCCATTGGAGACATTACAGATGTCCCAGTAAGTGCTAACCATAATCACCTTTATCATTGCAAAAGCTAGCTTCTCAAGTGACTGCATATTTTGTGGTTCTGGTGTTTACTAGATTCTGTATTCTGTAATATTTCATGGCAAGATATCTTAATGCTAGAACGATGTTCACTGAGAATCTGTATGACAGGAAATCAAACAAGGGATGTATGCACAAGGTCAGGCTCAAGTGGTTGCGAAGAATCTGAGGCTGCTAATAGATGGAGGAAAAAAACGCAAATTGGCGAGTTACAAGGCGCAAGCAGAAGTAGCCATTGTTTCGCTTGGAAGGAGACAAGGCGTGGCACAATTCCCATTCATGACAGTGCTTGGAAGATTTCCTGGCATGATCAAGTCTGGAGATTTGTTCGTGGCCAAAACAAGAAAGGACTTGGGACTCCAACCTAATGTTAAGGAGGCTTGATTTGAGATCACATGTTATTGGTTTGTTTACACCAAGATCATTCAGATCTTGCTGAATAAGGATGTTTCTGTTCTGTGTTGTCCCTATGCAGTCTTTGGTGTCGGTAATGGATATTTTTTCCAAAATATATATATATATATATATATATTTATTACATGAGAGTTGGACTTACGAATGGGGGCCATAAGTTTGAAGCATTATTTTTGAAACAAGTGAAAAACTGATAAGATCCTAAATAATATTCTTTTAAAAACATATTCAAGAAGAAAGCATTAGAAGATAAATTTAATTTAATTTAATTTAATTTTTAATTTAGGAACATTTTAGAATAGATTTCAGGAGATTATATTTAGATATTTAATTTTTATATTTTATTCATTATTTTATTTTATTTAGATTTTATTCAGTATTTTATTCATATATAGATTTTGGGATATTTTATTCAATTATCTAGTTATTTTGATTTCATTTAATATTTTGAATTGTATTTGGCTTTATATATATATATATATATATGACTAACAATTCTAATGCTAGCATATCAATAATAAATTAGTATTTAAATCCTTTGAAAATCCTCCTAAACATGATTATTGAGAGAAATATAAAGCACAATTGTTATTTTATATCATCTTAATAAATTTATTTTCCTCATTTTCTTTCATTATTTTGAGCACTTAACAAAAACGTCGACGTGTTTGGCTGTTCTTAGGCTTTTTGAATGTGATTTATTTGGGTGTGAGTTTCATATAATAATCTTCACACGTTTTTTAATTTCTCTCATTGCTTAGAAAATATAGAGACTGAACTCTGGATTCTTTTAGACTTTGTGGTGCTCAGTGTGAAAATTTTGCTACCTTATTCTCTAATGTCTATGCTGAAATGGGTCACTTCTCCCGATTATCATCGATATATCCATAATATATGTATAATATAATATAAAGCATGAATGCGCTGTCGTTATCCAAGTAATATATTGTTATTATGATGTTATTTTTGTGCTAAAAGTTTTATTATATTTTTTAGACCTGAAAAGGATTAATTGCACACTCGCATAAACAAAATTGAACGATATCAGGAAAGAAATCATGAGCAATTATACTTTGCTTCTGTAACTATGTGAGATGCTGTACTAGTGTTTTAGAATCAAAATATACCCTAACCGAAGGACACTGGCAAGCCAGACGGACAGTAGAGGATAACGTCATATCTCAAAAAGTCTCATAACTGCAGAAGCATCTTCAGCTATTTGAGTAAAAATCTTACTCAGCATGTGGAGGCTCTACGTTTGCTGGGCTTTAGCCCTCTTTCCAAATCTTACTCAGAGCGAAGATACCCAGAACCACATCCAATCAATCACTTTCAAACATGTCATCCCTCTCTGCGGCTGTAACCTCAACCAAAAAAGAAAATATTCCATGGCGACCCAGTTCATTTTTCATTGTAGGCCTTAACAACTCATGACTACTTTTGTTGTTGCTTTATCCTGCAAGTCCAGGCAGTAATGTAAGATAAAGGAACACACTTGCAGCTGAGAGAATCAGATTTGATACAGCAGAAAGCCAGATACCCAGAAGAAGGGAAAACACATGATGGCAAGGTTTGCTATTTGACGTTCGAATCGAACTATGACATCATGCAATAAGATCGAGATTTGAAGCGGTAAGTTTCAGGTGACTTTGGGGTGGCTCGACAAGACAGCCGCATAGGACGGCGCTGTCACTTTGTATTTTTATTGTCTGCGAAGTCTGTTCGTTGGGTATTTCTTTCATCATTTCTTCACAAAATGGCTGCATGAGCCATCATTTGGAACTTTAATCCTTTTTTCACCACACCTCTATAAATTTGAACATTATTCTCCCTCAACTTGCATTGCATGTAAATCTCTCAGTTCCCACTGCTCTCTCTCTGGGACTAGTACTCTCTGCTATGGCGTCAAAATCCATCTTCGCTTGTATTATATTACTGATTCTTCTGTGCTTGCTCCTGATGAGGGAGCCTTCTTCTGGTAAGTCATCTCACTCTTTTCTCTCTCTCGTCATCTTGGCAAAACACGTGGTAAAGCATCGTTTCCACAATTTGTCGTACTGATCCAACGTTAACATACTGGCAGATTGCAGCTCTGTGCATGGATGCTCTGGTGGTAATGCAGCTGGATTCAAGGAGACTGGGAATAGGAAGGTCTCTGTTCTTACTGTTCAGCATATCATTAATATACAACTAGGAAAGCAAAGAGTCCTCATTTTGTTTAAGACATTACAGAATCCATCTTCTTGCTCTGCAGGTGCTGGCTGCTTTGAGGGCAAAGAAAGCAGCTTTGCCTGGCCATGGAGGGTCATTGAGCAGTAAGTATGTTGAAAATTCTGCGAGTTCGGAGTTAAGGAAGGTTCCTTCGGGTCCAGACCCTCTGCATCATAACGGTGGCAGCCCCCATAAGCCTAAGACCCCTTAGATTTACTGAAGGAACTGTTCTCTGTGGCTCTTAGCTTGTCCTTGTCTGTCTGTCTGTTTTGTTTTGTTTTTTGGTTGCTGATATTTTAAGATGTCTCCGTCTAAGTTATCTAGTTTAATATGAGAAAGCATGTATAGTTTGTCGCGCCCTCGCTTCTGTTTGTCAAGTATGCAACAAATTTCTTATCAAAATCGAATTGAGTTAGACATTTGTGCTCGGTTGGTTTGAAACCAGAGGCAGAGTCACGTTGCAAGATGTCACAACTTCCGCCTTCCGACCGTCCATTTTCACGGATTGGACAGAAATAGAATCTCGTAAATTATGCATTGACATTGGATTCTGGCTTCTTTCGCCGTAATACTCTTAAATATAAAATGCCTGCAGAAAAGAGATAAGATTCCTCTATGCAATAACAAACCTTGAGCTTCTACTGGAAAGATGTGACAGCAGTGACGTAGATGCTATCTAGGGATTACGCATGGGAATCATCTCCTGTTCTAACCCAGTGGCCAATATTATGAGCCAAAACTACGAAACTGAAAACGGGGGGGAAATGGTAAACCGACCACGTATAAGTACAACATGGGGCGAATTCAAGTTAAATATATCATTAAATCAAGAAACGTGTATAAAACATTTCACCTGTGTAATATTCTCAACCAAAGAATAGAGATACCAAACTACTCAGATATAGGAATTAATCATCTTCATAAGATTCCTTTGCAGTGAATTTGGAAATATAACCACATTGTTTCAGTTCGAAGGATAGAAGTTCTAAGATTGAGAAAATAGAATCTATCTCTTCATGAGATTTATCACCAGCGACAAATTTGTGAATGCTTGAATCAGTCTCAATGGAACTAAAACCTGGTTTCTTTTGTATTCCACGAGCCTTCATGGTCCTTCTAACTTTACTTGCCCCGTCCCACTTTCCTACTGCAGCATATATGTTAGCAAGAAGCACATAATTGGAATCCCCACCGGGGTCCAGTTCAACAAGATAATTCATCACTTTTTCAGCCAAGTTAACGTCCCCTTGAGTCCTACAAGCGGCGAGCAATGACCCTAGTACCACCTCATTGGGCTTCATGGGCATGTTCTTTATCACTTCTAATGCTTCTTCCAACCTCCCTGCTCGACTGTAGAGATCCACTACGCAGCCGTAATGCTCAATTGTAGGGGTGATTCGATGAACTCTTTTCATGTTATCGAAGATTTGGAGTCCCTTGTTGATTAACCCGGCATGGCTGCATGCTGTGAGAGCTCCGGTGTAACTAACTCCATCTGGCTTGAACCCTTTCCTCTGCATTGAATAGAAGAAATTTAGAGCCTCATCTGCAAGCCCGTTAGCAGCAAATCCTACAATTATGGAGTTCCATGAAACCAACGTTCGTTGGGGCATTTTCTCAAATACTTGACGAGCAAATTCTATACATCCGCATCGAGAATACATGTCAATTAAAGAGTTGCAAACTTTAACGTTGTCCTTGAGATTTTCTTTTATCACAAGCCTATTAACCCATAAGCCCAGACTAAGTGTTCCCAGGTTGGCACAAGCAGAAAGGATAGCAATAATGGTGACATAATCAGGGGCCACACCAGCGAGCTGCATTTCACGAAAGAATTCCAGTGCTTCTTCATGATAATCTCTCTTCACAAATCCCCCAATTAAAGCTGTCCAAGAAATGGCATTCTTGGCAGGCATTTTATCAAACAGTTCGATGGCATTCTCGAATTCACCATTCCTCATATACCCATCAATCATCGTGTTCCAAGACACCATATTTTTGCCATCCAATTGTTCAAATGCCAGCCTAGCTAAATATACACGACCACATTTAGCGTACATATCGATCACCGCAGTTCCCACCATAACATCATTTATATCCAAGCCCAGTTTTCGGGTATACGCGTGAATTGAAGCTCCAAAGGATATACTGTCTGAGGGATAGTCAGCGCAAGCAGAAAGAAGAGTGATGAAAGTGATATGATTGGGTTCCACTCCAGCTTCTCTCATACGAGCGAAATCGAAAGCAGCTTCACGTAATTGGCCATTCCGACAACGAAGGGCTATAGATGAGGTCCATGCAACTGTGAGATCAGTGAATTTGTTGGTGAGAGAGAGAGAGAGGTGTTTGGTGTTACGGCGAGTGGATTGAACTTCACTTGGAGCTGGACTTGCAGGTACTGCTGGAGACGCTGCGGCCGCATAAACCATCGTTGCAACAAAATTTCCTCCTTCGAATAGCGCATCATGGAATGAAAAAAATTGCTCCCATGCCTTTATATCGTTCAATCCAAAATTACAATTTATTTTAATATTATAATATAATATAATTTTTCATAATTATTTTTTTCTATTTTGTAGTTATAACTTTTACTTTTTTTTTCAATTATTATTTTGTTATGTTAATTTTGTAATCATAACTTCCTGTGCCACATTGCCACATACGCTTCTTCAAGTTATACTGATTCCATATTTTAGATATGTTACAATAATATTTTAAATTTATTAGTATAAGACGAGAACTTTTTCAAATCAAAACATTAAATTATAATATTAAAAATATTAATTATAAAGTATCTTTTAATTCTTAAATTTTCTAACTTGTAAGTTTTTAATTATCAATTTTATAAATTATAATTCTTTAGTCTCTACATATTCACAATTATTTCATAGCCTCTCTCCATGATTATATGGGAACATAACTGGGGAATGTCAGCAGGTGTTACTGATGCTGGAGGAAAACAATTCTGGCAAAAGCATTCCTTCCGCAAGAAAATTTATTTGCTTGTGCATCAGCGGTTTTCAATCCACACTAGACTTTAATATAGCTCACCATCTAACCCAGGCATTTAAAAACAACAATCAATTCCCTATAACTTGGATACCAGAAATCAATGAGCTGGTATGTCTAAAAGAATTACTTTGAACATTTGATGTAGTAAGTATAGGGTGGTCCCAAAAACAACAGATAGATAACAAGGAATCAAGCGATACCTTGTAACAGCCAAAACATATATAAATCAATTTGATTACTTGAGGTGAAAGCAGCAATGTGCCTGCAAGTTGCAATGGAGATACCTCCCATCATCGAGCATCAGCAGAAGAAAAGGAGTCAGCAAACCCAACAGGCTTTGCAGGTATGCTGCCTTTGCTGTCTTCAAGGCTGGCATAGCTAACATCTTTGCTTCCTGCTTCCTTCCAATCCTTCAACATCTGGGAAAGTGGTCGTCCAAAGTCAATGCCAGTAAAACAATCTGACTCATCATCGATTGGCACCCATTTTTCGACCAATGCTGCCAGCACATTGACTGCATGGCTCATATCCGGTCGGTGGTTCGGTTCCCTTGCAGTGCAATGTCCAGCAAGTTCAGCTATAATGGAGATGCTCTCAAAAGTCTCTTCAGTTGCTTGAAGAGCAGGATCAATGGCAGCCATGAGCTTTTCTTTGCTTGATTTAATCTGCCAAAACCACTGAGCTAGGTATCGGCTCTCCTCTGGCCGGCTCTCGTCGAGAGCCATCAGTCCAGTCAGAAGTTCCATCAACACCACACCGTAGCTGAACACATCAACCTTTGTGGTGATTTTCCCCATCACTGAAGCTCAGAGAAATATTTAGTTAGTATGAAAAAGCACATGCATCAAACTGCAAATATAGAAAATATTTTAAAGTGTGGAGATATTGCCATATCTAAATCTAATAAGTATATGATGCTTTGATGTCCCTTTTTCTTTTTCTTTTTTTTTTTCCGGTGAAAATCTTTGATGTCTAATCTTAGCCCCAGGGATACAAGGCTCGTATAACATACAAATTTCTGTCGTCTAGAATTCATTGAAAAACTTGTACTATCATAACATGGAATAATAAAATATAGGATGATCCAATCAGGAAGCAATGTTTTTTCTCACTTATAATCTCGCAAATCTCCATAAAAAATTCAAAAGCAAATTAATATGTAGTTGGCTATATGTTGAGAGTCAAGATGCCATCAATTAGACTGGAACTTCTACGGCAAAGGTTTAAATGGAATGAATTGTGCTATGATGAAGACAAGGCAACATCACATTGTAAATTAGGTAGTTAATTAACTTGAGCCCTGATAAAACGAGCTCAAAGAAGCCATACCTGCATATTCAGGAGCAAGGTATCCAAATGTCCCAGCTAGCGTAGTCACCACAGACTTCTCACCATCTGGGGCAAGTTTCACCAGACCAAAATCTGAAACTTTTGCCCGAAAACCTTCATCAAGAAGAATATTAGACGGCTTGAGGTCTCTGTGGATGAAGGTCTGGCGGGCAAGACTGTGGAGGTATTCCATTCCTCTAGCAACATCCAGTGCTACCACAAGCCTCTGAGACCAAGTCAAAGGCTCCAATTTCAGGCTTTTCCAGTGAAAAAGATGCTTGCTTAGAGCACCCAGAGGCATGTATTCGTAGACCAAAAGTCTTTCATTGCCTTGAATGGAGTATCCTAATAGAGATACTAAATGTCGGTGACGAACCTTAGAAAGAACAGCTATTTCAGCCTGAAACTCATTCAGTGCTTTACTGCTCATAGCTCCACTCTCCATTCTCTTCACTGCTATTTTTGTCCCATCTTCTAGTTCACCTTTATAGACAGTTCCAAACCCACCATGCCCTAGTTCATTTTCGGGAGAAAAATTCTTGGTAACCTTACGTAAGACTTGAACAGAGATGACAAGATTACCAGCATCGATCACATGAGAGCTTTCAGATTCACCACTAATGTTTCTCAAAGAACTTGCTCCAGTTTTCAATGATAAGTTTTCGGCAGTGTTATTTGCTACTGCAATTTTAACCACATCTGGATTGGATGGGTCTCGAGGGTGAACCACAATGGAACTGGAATCATCCAATAAGGTATTCTTCTTCTTCTTCTTCTTTGAGCAATATATGAATAGGAAAATAACCAAAATAGCTGCAACAGCAAAAATTGCAGCTCCAGCCACAATTGCTAGCGTTCTGAATCTTCTAGATTTGTCTTCTTGTGATTGTACTTGTTCTGACCTTGATGGATTTGAGCTTGAACTGTGACTTGAGGAAGGTGGGCGTTCAGAGGATGGAGGAGATGGGTTACGAGGTGAAGATTGTGAACTTGAAGGCGGCGGGCTGCTAATAGGCTGGGGACTTCTTCCTGTTTGGTTCACAAGAAGAGGATTGCCATCAAGAACAAGCTTCACCCCATGAAAATTTGGCAATGGGGGCTCAAGGTTATTATCACTTAAATCCAACAGCTTCAGAGATTTCAATTCAGTTAAACTGCTAGGAATTTGGCCAGTTAAATTATTCCCTCCAAGCCTGATCTCAAGGAGTGAAGCTACCTTAGCAAGTGAGGGGCTCAGAGTACCATTGAGCCTGTGGTGGGGGAAGTTAATAATCGATACCTCTGACTTGGGATTGCAGCTCAATCCCAGCCATGGCCCAGTACATGGTTCATTACCAGACCATTGAGAAGTGAGCATTGAAGGGTAATTCAGATTGCTGAGAAAATCAAGTAGAGCAGTAACATCGGGGGCACATTCAAGGCCAGGCTTCTGTTGACAAAAGAAATTGAAATCATAAGAAATATTACTAGCCTTAAACTTTGGTATAGGACCCATGAGCCTGTTATTGTTTAACACCAAATTCTTAAGTTCCATATCAGCCAGACTTTCGGGAATCAAGCCAACAAGTTGATTACTGTTGAGGTTGAGATCCATCAAGGAAGTTAGATTTCCGATATTCTGTGGAATCGTCCCAGTGAATTGGTTTCCATGAAGCCAAAGTTGCGTTAGAGAGGTCATTGAAGCAATAACATCAATTGAACCAGTCATCCCGCTACCATCTTGGTTATTCAACCACAAAACCTGCATAGAAGACTGACCGAAGCTGCTTGGAATGCCACCAGACAATCGGTTGTATGAGAGTAACAAATTAGTGAGAGACGGCAATGTGCCCAGAAAATCCGGTACTGGTCCAATCAAATTACAATGCACAAGAGAAAGATTCGTCAATTGTACTGAGGTTTCTAAACTCGCAGGAAGAGACCACCCAGTACTCGCATTCAATGGATTTTCTCCCAAAGATAAATCGCGAATACTAATAAGACCATCAAAGAAATCAGACGGGATTCCATCAAATTGATTGTCATTTAAGAAAGCAAATTCCAACTTGGATAATCCACTAAAAGTAGGCAACATCCCACTAAGCTTGTTGTGTTGAAGACCCAAGTTGTAGAGCTCTGAAAGCAGGTTAAAGGATGGAGGTAATGATCCTTTAAGACCCAGAGACTTGGCCTGAATCTGTGTGACTCTATTACCAGCACAGAACACGTAAGGCCATGAAGGAGGACCACAAGGATCATCCCCATTGTCTGGCCATTTAAGAAGCTCTGGATTCTCCAAACCTTTTTTGAAATCATTCAGAATTTTGAGATCATTCGGGTCTGTGGAACCGTAAACCACTACAATCAGGCAAAAAATGAGAAAAATGCAGAAATTCGTACGGATAACTTCCATGGTTATTCCCAATAAAAGGGAAAAGAACTAGAGACCAAACCAAATGATCAAGGAATGCACTTTCCCGCAATCTCACAACGCCATAACAGATCGATCGATATAATATTCCTGTAGTAATTACGGGATACCAATGAGCAGACCCAGATAAAATGAGGCAGCAGAAAGCCAGAAACAAAACATTGGTGAGTATGTGTACTGTAGTGCTGTTACCAAGAAACCAGCATAAAGAAAGGGAGTTTCACCAAGATGGAGAAGAATCCTGACTACAACAGAAGCTCCAAAATTAAGATAAGGATAGGGAAACGATGATTATTCCCTCCACGTTCACTTTGCTAGTTTTTTAACGGAAGCTGCAAACCCCAAAGAGAGTGTCAGTGAATCCATTGTTGTCTCTCTTGCTCTTTTCTCACTTGTTCACATCTGCAGCTCGCGCCCTCGCAGTTCACGCTTTTCATTTTGCCTCTTTTTTTTTTTTTAATCGTTATTTACCTAAAAAAATCCAAGTGAAGTTGCCATTTTAAACGTAAGAATGAAGTGGGCCCACCTGATTGCGCTCAACCTCAATCTTTTCTTCTGAGGCGGCATTCTTGTTTTGTTTTTTTGTTTTTTTTACCCCCCTTTTGTCGATGTCTGACGCGGTTTTCAAATGCATGTGTAGACTTGTGGTAATTTTTTCTTGTACATCATTTTATTAAATTTATTAATTATTAAATAAAACAAATAATTCAAACGTAGATTTTTTTTACCTTTTATTTTATACTCGTAACAAAAATTAATTTTAT